TTAAAGAAATAGAAAAAAAAATTTTCCTTGTGATGAGAACGCTTAGGATTCACTCTCTTAACAACTTTTATATATAACATACAGCAGTGCTAATTATATTTATCATGTTGTACATTATATCCTTAGTACTTATTTTTCGTAACAGGAAGTTTATACCTTTTGACTGCCTTCATCCAATTTCCCCGCCCCCCATTTCTCCTCCCACTTCTGGTAACCACAAATCTGATCTCTTTTTCTATGAGTTTGTTTGTTCATTTGTTTATTTTTGAAGTATAATTGACCTACAATACTGTTAGCTCCTATTACACAACATAGTGATTCAATATTTCTATACATTTCAAAATGGTCACCATCATAAGTCTAGTTCCAATCTGTCACCATACGAAGATATTACATAATTATTTACTATATTCCCCCCACTGTACATTTCACACCCATGACTCATTTATTTTGCAACTGGAAATTTGTACCTCTTAATCTCCCTCACCTATTTCATTCCTCCTCCTGCTCCTCTTCCCTCTGGCAACCACCTGATTGTTCTGTGTATTTATAACTCTGTTTCTGCTTTGTTACATTTATTTATTTGTTTTGTTTTTTAGATTCCACATATAAGTGAAATCATACAGTATTTGTCTTTTTCTGTCTGACCTATTTCAGTTAGTGTAATACCCTCTAGACCCTCCTTGCTGTTTCATGTGGCAAGATTTGATTCTTTTTATGGCTGAGTAATATTCCGTTTTATATATATATATATATGTGTGTGTGTGTGTATATATATATATATATATATATATATATATATATCTCACATCTTCTTTATCCATTAATTTATTGATGGGCACTTATGTTGCTTCCATATCTTGGCTATTGCAAATAATGCCCTAATGAACATAGGGGTGCATATATCTTTTTGAATTAGTGTTTTTGTTTTCTTTGAATAAATACCCAGAAATGGAATTGCTAGATTGTATGGTAGTTCTATTTTTAATTTTTTGAGGACTCTCCATACTGTTTTCCATAGTAGCTGCACCAATTTACATTCCCACTAACAGTATACAGGGCTTCCCTTTTCTCTACATCCTTACCAATACTTGCTATTTGTTGCCTTTTTGATAATAGCCATTCTGACAGGTGTGAAGTAATATCTCACTGTAGTTTTGATTTGCATTTCCCTGAAGATTAGTGATGTTGGGCATCTTTTTGTGTGCCTGTTGGTTATCTGTATGCCTCCTCTGGAAAAATGTCTACTCAGATCAACTGCTCATTTTTTAATCATGTTTTTTGGTTTTTGGTGTTTTGTTTTTGCTGTGGAGTTGTATGAGTTCTCTGTATGTATTGGATATTAACCCTTTATTAGATATATTGTTTGCAAATATCTTCGCCCATTCAGTAGGTGGCCTTTTCATTTTGTTGAGAGTTTCCTTAGCTGTGCAAAATTTTTTTAGTTTGATGTAGTCCCAGTTGTTTATTTTTGCTTTTCTTTCCCTTGCCTAGGGAGAAATATCCAAAAAAATATTACTACAACCAATGTCAAAGAATATACTGCCTATGTTTTCTTCTGGAAGTTTTAAGGTTTCAGATCTTACATTTAATCCACTTTGAATTTATTTTTGTGCATGGTGTGAGAGAATAGTCCAGTTTGATTCTTTTGCAGGTAGCTGTCTAGTTTTCCCAACCTCATTTATTGAGGAGGCTGTCTTTTCTCCACTGTATACTCTTGCCTCCTTTGTCATAGGTTAATTGACCATAAGTGTGTGGGTTTATTTCTGGTCTCTATATTCTGTTCCATTGATCTATGTGTCTTTTTCTGTGCCAGTACCATACGGTTTTGATTACTGTAGCTTTGTAGTATAGTTTGAAATCAGGGAGCATGACACCTCCAGCTTTGATCTTTCTCAATATTGTTTTGGCTATTCTGGGTCTTTTGGGTTGCGATTCTTTCTTTTAAATTCACTGGTCAAGGAAATCCACTTATCTTTTCTAAAAACTAAGAAATCTAAATTCTTAGAAAGATATGTCTAAATTGAGACTGCCTGGATTCAAATTTGGCTCTACTACTAAATTTTTGTGTGATGTTTGGAAAATTACTTAACCTTTCTAAGCCTCAGTTTCTTCATCTGTCTGGGATAAGAGTTGTGAGAATTAAATGAGATATTCAATATAAAACACTTACTACAGTGTCTTGTATATTAGTAACTCTTCAATAAATAAGAACGATCACTACTTAGCATGACGTAGTGGTCCAGACATTCCCTCATTCCCTTTCTCTTTGGCTTTACAAACTCCAAAATGACACGGTCCCTGTTATCCATGGTCTTTCACACTTTCACACTTCAAGCAGTTTTCTCTCATTGATCAGATTATGCTCAGACTACAGGTTTATTTCACTGCTTCCTCAGCTTTTTGAAAAACAAAAAAATTCAAAGCACACTACCATTCTTTTGACTTCTTTGAACAAAGTGCGTCTTTATGCCATTTCATTATTCTAATTCTAAACCGCATCCCACCTTAATCTCAAGATAATAACTACATCCTTGTCTTAACATTCCAAGTTCACTTACTTCATTACTTATGGAGACATTTAAGGCCAAAAGTGTTATTAATGACCCTCTTCCTTATGTTCTCCAGTGAAAATGCATCTTTTCCACTGTTGATCTGTCAGTGTTAGACCTGATATCCTGTATATTATTTGGATTTAAATTTTTGATAAAAATTATCTCTATCTCTATTTCAACTCCTTTTAAATTTGAGTTGAAAACTCTTTGAAAACTCTGCAGGTTTTCTTCCAGATGTTGTAAGATATATTCCAAGCTTCTCCAGGTTCCCAATTAGTCTGGAAAACCCATTTCTATCCCATGATACTATATATTCAGTCAGCTATTCACTTGTAACAGCTCCCTTTTTTTTCACCATTTGAGTTCTCTGGGATTCCAAAGTCACTTAACAACCATTCTATGTTTCTTTTGATGGTTTTGCTAATCACCAAAAGTGAGTAATTGTCAGCAGTTTCAAGGTCTTTCAGGTTTTCTATCTTCTTGGTAAATTTTCATGTAGCTATAGCCATACCCATCTTTAATAAAGAGTAAATAAACATTCACCATTAAGACTCTGCTTCCTAGGTCATTATTATAGGCTTTCTTAAACATATTAACTCCCCTGAATTTTTAATGCCAATTTTTAAATATGAAAATAATTTCAGTGAGGCTTCCAGCTGCAGAGCTAATAAGTAATTTAACCATAATTAAAAAGCAGTGCTCTTTTTGCTTTACCACAGTATCACAGAACTTAAACTCCTGACCCCAAACTCTTAAAATCTAGTTAGAGACTAAAAGTAATACATATATAATAATATAATAAACTTTAAGACTATAAATTATATTATGCTAATTTGTAAAAATCATTATGAACTAAATAAGGTCAGTACTAAAATATGAACACAATACTAGGAAAAAGAGATTTGCACAGCTTAAAGAGATTAGGAATGATTTCATGAAGAAGTTGAAATGTTAACTGTGAATTTAAGAATGGTCAGCATTAAATAGGCAATAGCTTAAGGGAAGGTTTTCCAATAAAGTTAAGGCATATACTAGGAATATCCATGACACATTCCTCAGAGAGTGACTACACCAGCCTAACAGAGAAGGAGGCATGTTTTATCACCAATGTTGTTTTCTAAGTAGAAATGACTCAAGTATGGTGGACCTTGAGTGTCAGACATCGGAGTAAGCAGGGCACAGCAGTGTTTCCCTAATTGAAACTCTACAGGCATAGCCCCAATAGTCCACAAGGTTTTCCACAAGAAATTTTTTTTTTTAATGGGGCCATACCACATGGCATGCAGATCTTAGTTCCCCGACCAGAGATCAAATGCGGGCCCCCGCAGTGAAAGCGTCAGTCCTAACCACTGGACCACCAGAGAATTCCCTCCAAAAGAATTTTAAAATTTTGTGTTTTCATTTATTTGATTGTCTAAGTAAATATTTATAATTGATAGATTTATCCCTATGACTACCTCAATACCAAGTACTGACAAGAGATTTCAGTACCCACATCTTGTATGTATGTGCCTATATTGTTGCTAACTACTTTAACTATTGAGGTTTCCTGAGAACGAAACAGAACCTGATTCAAGACATAAATTATATATTCACATGAAACAAGGTCAAAATGGTGTCATAGAGTAGTGTATGAATAAAGGTTCTGAGACAACTCAAGTGGAAAAAAAAATGACATCACAAAGTGACATAGGCATAGCAAATGCAAAAAAAATCTATAAAACCAATACTATATTCACATGGTGACAGAGTTTGGTTTCAGCGAAACATTATATGTCTTATTAAATTTTGCTAATTGAAATTTTGCTGAATTTTGAGCTTCATTTATATTAAATATATAAATTTGTTTTTATGCTTGTACAAGAACTACAAATATAAGAGGATTATATATAATTTTCTATTTATTTTAATTTAATAAAAAATAGGGCTTCCCTGGTGGCGCAGTGGTTGAGAGTCCACCTGCCGATGCAGGGGACACGGGTTTGTGCCCCAGTCCGGGAAGATCCCACATGCTGCGGAGCGGCTGGGCCCGTGAGCCATGGCTGCTGACCCTGTGCGTCCGGAGCCTGTGCTCCGCAACAGGAGAGGCCACAACAGTGAGAGGGCTGTTTACCGCAAAAAAAAAAAAAAAATTTAAGTCAGCATTGGACATCTATGAAAAAATTTCTTGTCTTTAAAAAGTGGTCTACCTAAGGGACTAGGAAGATTATATATCTTGATCTGAATGGTAGTTACCTGGATGAACAGATATTTACAAATCCTTTGAACTGAACACAATATTTGTGTTTCACTCTAACTCTATTATACCTCAATGAAAAAGTGAAAAAATGAAACTCAAATAAACAAATAAATAAAAGTAGTCTGTATATTTCTTGAGTTTGAGGAAACACTGCTCAAAGCTTTAGAACATACAGATTTAGCTCCTGTTGCAATTCTGCCACTTACCAGCTGAGTAACCTGAGACAGACTTCTTAACCAGTACAAACTCCATTTTCTTCATCTGTAAAATGAGGATAATAACAGATCCTTGCAAGATGTTGTGAGGGTTATAGGGAAATTTTGCAGGTAAAATACAAAACAATAGACCTAATATATAACGGTGCTCACTAAACAATAGTGATAAAGGAAGGAAGGGAGGAAAGGAGGGAGAGGGAAGCAAGCAGGCTTTGGCTTAACATGATACACACATGCATACATGTATAGTCACACACAACCACGTACACATGATTTTGAAGGTTTTGAGCAAAGGTGGAAGATGATGAAAGCAGTCCTTTAAAAACTGCCTGCAAAAAAAAAAAAAAAAAACTGCAATCTGACAGTGTTATTAAGGAAGAGTTAGAGTAGAAACCAGAGTGTAGGAGGTCTACTAAAATTCATCATAACTTTCAATAACCAAATTGCATAAATCAGTAAATTACATATCCTGCAGTGAGCTTTTTAGAGAGCTTCAAAAACTATTCAGTCTATCTGGATTTTCCTTCAAGCTTCAAAAAGCATTTATTAAGTACCTATTTGCTGCAGAAGTAATAAAAATGGTAATGATTCTGCTTTCCCAGGAACTTATGAGCTAAATGAATAGATACATTAAACAAATCAATAAAGTAGAAAAATTACGTACTCATTTTAGATTCAAGTAAAAAAAGTAATGGCTATGGACTTTAAAAACTCAGGATATCCATTCTCAACACTGCTCAGATGCCAAAAGTGGTATGGGGGTGTGGGGGGTAGGGTTATATTTCAGATAAGGTGGTCAGCAAAGGTCTCTCTGAGAAGATGACATCCACATAGAAGTAGATGAAGAAGCTAGCCAAATGCATGTTCGGAGGAAGAACACTCCAGGCATATGGAAAGAATTAAGCCTTTTGTGTTCAAGGAAAAGGAAGGAGCAGAATGAGCTAAAGAAAAGGAATAGCAGAAAAATGGTATCAAAGGAATAGTGAGGGACAGATCAAGGGGAACAAACAGACCACGATAAGAACACTGAATTTAATTCTAAATGAGATGAGAAACCATTGGAGAATTCTTAGCAAAGGAGTAACCTAATCTAACTTGAGTTTTTCAAAGGATTACTCTGGCTGCTGTTTTAAGAAGGAACTGTAGGGAAAAAGGACAGAGGTGGGGAGAACATTTGGTAAGGGGATTCATATAAGTAGAGAGCACACTGGCTTTCTTCTCTTCTCTCAGTGGAAGAGCCCTTAAAGAACCACTCTTAAGGACTGGGAGAACCTTAGAGAAGGAGAGACAAACATCTCACTTCCAGGGGTGGGGTTTTGCTGAACCACAAAATCCAGAGGCCCATCTTGATGTGACCACCAAGGCTGGAACTCTGAGAGAGTGAACTGATATGTGACCCCTAGCATTTTGGGAGTATTTGAGAACAGGAAGATGTATACTTGCCTCCCACCTGAAGATAATAAGGTGTCTGGAGCTACCCATGATGGCAGCAAGGAGAGAAGGAAGCAAAGGGGAAACAGCCTACACTTCCCTACTGTTGAAACAAGGATGTGAGTTCCTGTGGGCCAATGGGAGACCACAGAAGATAACCAGGCTCAAGCTACTCCTCATAAACTAATTTTCTGCCAGATAGAGAAACCCAGGAGAAAGAGGGAGAAGGTATACCCCTACGGACAGGGACTGAGGTTGGGTCATAAGAGCTCAGCTTGAATACACTCGTTGCACAGTAGCTTCTTTATTAGGGGGCAACTACAGCCAGATTACACGTAAGATTTTTCACTTTTTCCCATACTCTCCCTTTTTCACTTTTTCCTATACTCACGTTCCTCTCACCATCTACCCTCAAGGTAACAGAAAAGGTAGGAAAGGAGTAAAAAATAAAGAGATCTAGTGAAAGAAGAGGTTCTGCCCCCACGTTTCCTTATTTCATGAACCCTAACCTCTGCTGTACTGCTCCATAAGTATGTTGGAAAAAAATCATACCCAGAGAATTGGCTTCAGGGCCATTACTTCTCATTTCTCATTATAACCTAACTTACATTATAAGGACTCAAGGTAGTTTGCATAATACTTATAGACAACATGATAGCCAATTCAGAAATGAACTTTTTTCTAAACAGAACATATGGAAAGAAGGTCATTCCTGTCTTCCATCTAAATGTTACTGTCTTTATTTGATTTTGACAGAAATTCATCTGCAGCTGCTTGCATAAAGTATAACAATGATCTGTTTGTACCTGTGGGGAGACAAAAAAATGAGGCTTTAGAGTTTCAGTTACTCAGTATCCATGTACAGAGTCATATAAATAAATGATAGATGGATAAATGATATATGGAGAATACATAAATGATAGAGGATATTGATGATTATAGTATAGATTAAAATATATTACTTGAATGAATGTAGATTAATTCATTCAACAAGTACTTAACTGAGTATTTACTATGTGGTAGGCACTGAGTATTCAGTGGATTCCTTACAATCCAAAGAGAGAGGTAGGTATTTTAAAAGTAAACACAAATTATTATACAATTCTGAACTCAGATACATGCTATAAAGCAAAAGAACAAGATGTAGTGATGGAGAACTCTTTACATTTGGGGCATAGGGGAAACTTCTCTGAGCAAATGACATTTAAGCTGATAACTAAAAAGGAAAAAAAGGAACCAGCAGATGAAGAGTTGGAGCAAAGGCCCTGATGTGGAAAAGAATTTGGAGTTTGCCAGAAATTTAAAGAGAGCCAGTATGACAGGAACTTAGAATAGTGAACAACAGCATAAGATAAAGTTAGATGGAAGGTCGAGCATGTACCTTATGGACTTGAGACTTGTTAGACTTTCCTAAGCACTTGTTTGAATTTTATTCCAAGTGTAATGAGAAAACTTTGATGGGTTTAAACTTTGAAGACCCACATTTAAAAAGATCACCTGGGCTGAGGGCAGTGTGGGAGAATGGACTGAATAAGAGGCAAAATAGAGAAATGTGAGGAGACTATTGCAAAAGATACCGATGTCTTGAATTAGATGGTAGCAGTGAAAGTGAAGAAAACTAAGCCCCTTTTCCTTCTGATTCTACTTGCTTGTGAGGGATAAGCTCATGACAGCTTTAACTGCCACTTCTATGCTGATGACTCCCAAGTCTATCTCCCTGGATGCAACTCTTTCCTTAAACTCACAACACTACCAGTGCCTCCCCATATCCAATTGCTTAATGGACACTTCCTTTCAGATAGCAAAAATTCAAATGGAATTCTTCATCTTCCCCTCCAAACCTGCTGCCTTCCTGACTTCTCATCATTCTCCCCATCACTTGGAATCAAAACTTTGGCATCACTTTTGATGTCTGTCTCCCTTTCTCTCCATCTCCCATGCCCAGGATACTGAAGCATTAAGTATACATGCTCTGGAGTCATAATACTTAGGCCAATGGATTGGAACAGACAGGACATTTACCTGGTACATAGTTGCCATTGCTATGCTCTAGATTGCACACTATATTGCAGGAATTTTTTAAAATTTCGACTCCTGTATGCCCTGGAACGTGTGGGAATCCTAGCTGATCACACAGCAGTTTCAGGTACAGTCTGTCCACATCAAATAAACACAGAAACACTAAGAGAATGGATATCTGATCCTCCTTGGTTATGTTGAGAGGAAAACTATTATTTCCTAAGCTGACTACAGTTTTCTCAATGAATAGTATGCAGATTACCACAGTCCTTCTTACACTGCAAAACAGTCATATAAATAGAGAACTTGCTGGCCCTGAAGGAAGATGACCTATTTTTCGGTTTTGGTTTTTCAAGAAAATCTAAAAACCAACACAGCTAGAGTTAGAACTGAAGGTTCAGAAAGGACTGACAGAGTCTTGGTAGTTATAAGTGAGAAAGGGTGAGATCACCAAGGAAGAGCACTCTGAGAGAGACTAACCAATGATTAAACATAGTACCTGCACATAGTAGAGAGGAGGAGGAAATAGAATCCATGAAGGATTCAGAGCAGCAAAGGTCAGACAAGAAGCTAATGATCCTTCCAGACCCACTCTCCACCTGCTCTGTGGGGAAAGAGGTATACATATGAACCTATATGGTTAATATCTACGAACTCTCTTTTCCTCCTGGTTTGTTAGGTACAGTTAATGGGATGTGCACCAGCAAAGATACATCAAAAGAGAGAGAGGTTGAGGTATTTATCCCTCTGAAAGGCTTCCATGGACTGGACTTTCACCCTCAACTAAATGCCACAGCTCCTTATAGCAGCAGGCCATTGTTATGACACCCAGATTTTTGTACTATCTCCCTACAACCTGCCCCTACACTTTATAAATTGCCACCTTATGAAATGAGAGTAACCATGAAAAAAAGGAAAATTTGAATTACATGCTTAAAAAGCTAGCTGTTCTTTTGTTGGGTGTGGCAAGAAGAGATCTCCTGTAGACATCCTTATCCCTATCCTGGTTTCTTTTAGGGGGCTGATTAAATAGTGTTTACACCTATTTGAGCTGACTCCAAGGAAGCAAGCAAGGACCTGACTACGTCATCTCAGGAAAGAGTTCTACTCATGTCTAAAATAATTGGGGGATGAGGAGTGGAGTGGAAGAGTGGCAAAGAATCACCAAGGGGGCCAACCTTCTTTTACTATTTTGAGAGACATGAGATTTTCAAGCTCAGCAAGCCTCCCATTCTGCAGTAAACCTAATTAAAGTAAACAGAATTTTAAAATGAACCAAACCCAGTTAGGCAGTAGGAGCTAACATTCCTCTTCAATTATTATATGAGGTCACATCTCACAGTTGTGTACTGGACACCTTCTCCTTTATCTGTCTTCCCACTCACTGCCCTTCTCAGAGTACTCAAGAACAGAGAGACCCCAGACCATCGACGGTCTGAGCCAGTCCAAATCTTCTTAGCCAGTCTCTCTTGCCCTGTGCACAAACAGATGCTATTATACCACAAGGTCAACTCACAACATGGAGCTGAGAGATAGCAAAGGTGGCAGCTGAAGACAGAGACACACAGGGAGAGGGTCGTGCATTTTTTAATGCTA